TAATATTATGGTAGTATTCTTTGTCGTTGTCGAGCTTAGTGTAAAGTGAAGAGGAAGGAAAAAAAAGAGAGAAATTTCAGTAGAAACAGAATGACAAGAAAAAAAGCATACTGATTGTCGAGACTAAAATGCCAATAGACAATATTAAAATATATTTAATAAATATAAAACAAAAAAACTTTCAAATATTATAGACTTGATTATGATTAATATCTAATATATCGATTGCTTGATAACTCGAAAATATTGCATAGAGTTAAGAATTGAATGACATACGATTAATGTCTTCCAGGGGTTGTTATTAGAATATTATCAAATGCAAATAATACATGTTTGCTATCCAGTACAACCGTTTTATTTTTTTCTTTACTTATGTTAAACATTCTTCAGACAGATAAATTTTTCTTTATCAGAGAACGAAGGTGAAATTTTAGTATATGTTAAAACTATATGTAGTACTACTTTAGACTAAAGTACAATAAAAAAAAAAAAAAAAAAGAAAACATCGATTCCTGTTCACGTATTCAATCTTGAATATATGAAATGATATAAAAATAAACTTCAATAGATATATAATATCAAGTAAAAGATATGCAAGGTCATTCTGCCCTGAAAATCTCCACTTCCGGCATCATTCTTCAGCGTAAACCTGATATTTAAGCTTTTGCCTTTAGATATGTACGTCATCATCATTAATTACATTAATCATATATATCTTCAATAAGAACTACTAATTAACACAACTATTAGTCTCATCGTTAGTTGATATCTTTTATTCGCCGAAAAATAAAGAATTATCTATTTTATAAGCATAAGTTTTATGTTTTAAATGAAATTTAGTTTGTTTTTTTTCTTTATTAAGCCTAATTATTCTAACCTACCTTAATTAATATCTTCAAATAGTAAATGTCTATGTGAACAATTTTTTTTTTTTTGTCGATTATAGAATAAGTTCAGAACAAAAAAAAATGTTTGTTTGATTCATAATTCATACCCGTGAGAAGAAATTGATGTTGTTGCAGGTTCTTTTTTTCTTCTTTCGTTTGTCGAAATAAAGATGCGCCTATAAATAATAAAGAATGCTGAATATAATACAAAACAAAAAAACAATAAACACACGATCGTTGAATACCGCAAGTATTTACTTGTTTTTGTGTTTTTAAGTATGATGAACGACAGAAAGAAAAGAAGAATAACAAGAACGAAAGAAAAAAAAAACCAGATTTTCATCAGCATTTTTTTTTTCTATTATTTCATCTTTTTCTTTTCGAGCTAGCACAACAAGAAAATAATAATTTCTGTTCATCATTTCTTTTTCTTTTCTCACCACAAGTTTTTGTGTTGTGATATATATGCATCTAAAAGAGAAAAAAAAAACAACGCATTTAACTTTATTGTTATAGTCATATGTGAACATGCTATGTTCTCATACGTACTCGACATGTAGATAATAAAAAACAAATGTTAACATCTATACTCGATTTATATAGATAGTCTGCATGGAATAGTCTAATATATAAATTGATTTAATCGTAGGTATTAAAAAAAGTTATTTTTTTTCCAAAATTGAGATAATTTCTTTTTTTTTTGTCAGGAAAATCTGGTATCACTTATCTTGTGAAATAAATTTCTTCAAAGTTCAACACTATTTAGATAAAGTTTAAGATATCGATTGAAAGTTATCTTGAAAAGGTACGTAACTCTCAGTGGAACCTGCCCGATACAAAATTTTCAAATTCAAATTCGAGACCAACCTGATGGACTCTAATTTCCTGCGAGTAAGAAATCATTGAAACATTGAGTATTCTGTCAATATTTCAGCACAGATAAATCATAAACTCTTGAATTTGTTTTAAACATATGCCGTTGAATTCTCTATAGAACTAGAAGTGATAAATCTCATTGACCTGTTCTAGTGAGTTTTAATAAGGACTTTGCTTGATGATGTAATGTATGTTGTTTCTGATTTCTTTTTCTAAGTCATACGCAGCCAATAACCAGAGTAATTTTTTTTTTGTATTTAAAAATGTTGCAAAAATGAACTCATTTTTTGTCATACGTGAGACTTCCAGAATGTTTTTACTTTAAAAAAAATAAATAATCAAGAGAGAAAATATTGCCATTCTAAAAAAAAATGACTTTGCAGAAAATACTATCTAATGAAAAAGGTAATCAGCATATATGCACAATTAATAGGGACTTTCAAGATCTATCTGACAATGAATTCTGTTCCAAAAACTAATGATACGCTCGTATCGAGAGAAATAAATTCTTGAAAACGATGTATAGAACATAGGTGCAGATCATATTATATGGTCTACAAAAGCGTTCTGCTTTATTGTTTTAAATTAAAGTAAATAGAAATTTATAGAGATTTCAACAGTGCATTTTTCAATAACTAAATTCAAGGATTTATAATTGATCTATATGAAGACATTCGTAAAATACTCAATTTTGCAAATATTTCAACTCATCTAGTATATATCAAAATAACTATAAAATCACTACAGCTAGAAAAGAAAGATCAATATGTCGTTATTGACTCTTAGTCTCATCATCATTATGCATGTTTTCAATGATGATTGTTATCAAGAGATCTTAATAGAAAATGTAAAAAGGCCTCTTGGAGGATCTTAATCCCCTTTTCTACTCTATTTCGATAACTATATCTCTCTTTCAATCCTTCTCCACACAATAACGTAATACTATATATAGAGTAATAATAAGCGTTGGAAAATTCCATAAAAGATCAGCAAAGGAAAAATTCCAACGTATATGAAAGGAAAAGAAAAGTCTATGGTGTATGACTAACAATAAGAGAAAAGAAGAAGAACATAAGTTCATATGTATAATCCTATAGAAAAGAGAGGAAAATCCTTATGACTGTATCTGAAGAAGATACAGCTCATAACATCTCTTTTCTTCCAGACCACTTCTGGTTCTTCGCGAGAATACAACCGATCGGACTCAAATTTTTATCACAGCTAGATTATTGAAAATGATGCGATCTCTATTCGAGGAAAAAAAATCTTAAAAACAAGTCTTCAGAGGTTTTTTGAAGGGATCTTATAAAACCATCGGACCTACTTACGATTCCAGTCTCACATTGTCCGATCAAGCTAAACTTTTTCCTGGAATAAAGCTTCAATGGTGATTTTAAGCTTTTTGAAAAATAAGGACAAAAAACTGCGGGATGACCAACTTGATCTTTAGAGGGACAGTGTTTCTCAATGTGTATTTTTCGCATAACAGACGGACATGTAACTTTCGTTTCTTGCAAGTGGCTTTCTTTTATTGCATATCATTCACAAAATCACTTTTAAGAAAATAACGAAATTTTCAGCGAAAAATTCCTGACAGGATAACTCTTGCCCACATTTTTTCGAGCAAACTTTTTTGGTTAGAAAAAGTCTTGTGACATACATCATTCAATATAGTTTCGCGCACTAATTTCGAATATATCATTGATTTTCAATAGAAATACTTGGGAATTTGCAAAAGAAAGCTAGGTTAAAGGGAAAAAGCAAGGCTTTTAGGAAAATCTGCTGTATGATCTAGGAGCGTTTATGCTAACTGTGGTGATAGAGGACACAGAATAGAACATTCTGGCACAGTTTGAGTAGATTCGAGTTGGTACTATGGGACGTGCGTTCGTTTTACTGATGAAGAAGCTACTCCAAGTAATACCCACCATGTGAGCTTACATTGGATCCACAGGTAAGCCGTAGTAAGACTAGCAAAAGCCTAAAAGAGTTCATTCTCATGAGCCTCGAACGCCGAATTACTGGATTTTTGACTCATTTTTAGGTACCCCGAAAGACCTAAAAATGGATTTAAAAAAAAACAATAAATCGGTCATAACTCAGCGCCAAAGGCCGATGAAACAAACCCTTTTAAACGTTAGCTATTATCACCAAGACCTATCTGCAAGTCCAATATGAACTCAAACGACGTGTGTCATTTGCAGCAGTTACCTGATGAGCTTAGGCATTCCGAGAATTAATTCAGAAAAAAATTCTTATTTATTTTTTCTTAAAAACTAGATATTTAAATTAAAATATTTCTTCGATGATTAATATCAGATGATATGTAAATTAAAAATATCTACTGGGCGTACCTACCAAATGGTTTAATTTTGTCCAAAAATTGATTTTCTCAACAATACCAATGTTTCCAAACTAATTTACGACTTTCAACTGTTCTACTTTACTTAAAATTACTAACAAAAAAAAACATACGCCATTAGATAGGCTACGTCTCAATATATATTATCCTTATTTAAATGGATAAAAGGATAACGTTCGTTTCTTCATCTATTGTTTGCTTGAATGCACATTATTGTCGTCATACTAGATAAAACACTGTTCGTAGTTTCGAATCGATACAGAATGTTGAAAGTAGTACGACCTTTAGTATTAGTCAGTTGTTTTGATATTATTAATTTCTCTTAATTTTAATGCTTTTACTAGCCTAAATATTGATCGTACCCATTGAACTTTTTTAATAAACAAGTAGAAAAAAATGACAAAAAAAAAGCATTTATTTATTTTTTTTATTCTTTAAAAATTCATTAAGATTTCAAAAAAATAAACTTCAAAACAAAAGATTAGATGTTTAATTAACAATTTCAATCGAATTTAATAGTTTTCAAGATTTCATTCTAAATAGAATACATCAGAAAAGATTTTTTATGCATAAAATTTTTATTGATCAATTCAAAATTCCAATCTATAAATCATAATACATGAAAAAAATCCCATTACATTATTCATTCTATCAACATGAAACAAAATAATTTTGTTCTCTTCCAATTGGTTTAAATTATAACGAATAAAAAAAACAATTTCTAACCATCCATAGATTGTCACTAGAATCAATGTTTAAATCAAATTGATTGTATCTTTATATATATATATATAATATGACTCATATACTTTCTCAACTATTCTACATGTCGACATTCTTTTCTTTATTCATCTAGTTTATTCAACAAAAATAAAATGCAAACAACATCAACAACTACATCTGGTCCAGCATTACCAAAAGCAAGATTTAATTGGATATTTTCTGCGGATAAATTTACTTCAACACCATCAAATCGAAATGGTATATCACCTGAAGAAGAATTAGCTTTACGGCAACAAGCAGCTGTTTTTATTTATGAATTAGGTACAAATTTAAAAGTGTATGTATCTTATATTGATTTAGAATAATTAATTAACTTTTTTTTTGTTTTTTTTTTTCAAGACCACATTATTGTATTAATACAGCTGTTGTTTATATGCATCGTTTTTATATGATTAATTCATTTCAACGATTTACACGTCAAGTAAACAAAAAAACAAAAGATAATTATTGAGTATATATATATATATATATTTGATTTTGTAGCGAATATGTGCCGCTTCATTGTTTCTTGCTTGTAAAGTTGAAGAATTTCCTCGTACATTACGGGATGTTATTGAAAATACAGGAAAAGTATTACGAAGAAAAAAAGCTGAAGAACTTACAAAAGAAGTAATATTAATTAAATGAAAGAATAGAAAAAAAAAAAAAAAAACTTCTATTATTTATTTTTAGATGATTGAACAATATGCTGATGATATTGTTTTACATGAAAATATTCTTCTTTCAACATTAGGTAAAAACAATAAAGAAAATTTCAAAAATATAAAAATTTTTTATTCTTTTATTTTTACACATAGGATTTTCATTAATGGTTGATCATCCACATCCAATTATTATTAAAACAATTCAAACACTTGGAAGTAAAGATTATTTAGTAACATTAAAGCTGATATTCTACAATGTGATGTTATAACATTACATTGTGGAATACTTTTTAAGTGGAGGGGAAACACCAGCTAAAGGAATACTGAACTCGGGTTCAAAATTTTATTTTTTGTTAGATCCGGTTAGAATTTTAAGTCATCGAATACTTTTATCATTAGATTTCTTTTCAAAATCTATTCATCAAACATTTTTTTGTTTTTGTTTTTGAATCTATTTCTAGGTCAAATACAGTCGTTACCAGAAAAAAGTAAGAATAATTTTGAAAAATAGAATATAAAAAATTCTAATGTTAATTTGTTTATTTTTTAGCACCTCGTGAACTTGCTCAGACAGCTTATTATTTAGCAACAAAAAGGTGGTGATTTTGTTGTGAATAAAAAGCACACATATTCACCTAATCCTTTCTTCTAGTATTTTACTAACATCATTTTGTGTCAAATATCCACCTGATCTTATTGCCTGTTTTTGTATACATTTGGCTGCAGCTTGGCTCAAAATTGAAGTAAAAAATAAAAATAATATTATTTCAAAAAAAAAAATAAATAAATAAATTCTTATAATAGATTCCTTCACCAGCACCAGTAACAACAGCTCGTAATGGATCTGATAGTACAATAACAGAAAATACATCAAATAAACGTTGGTTTCATCTTGTTAATGAATCATTTACTGAAAAACAACTTGGAGGTAAATAAAAAATATTATTTTTAATAAAAAAAAAAAAAAATTTTTTTTATTATTTAGAACTTGCTGATGAATTTCTTGCTATATATGAAAAATGTCCGGATAAAATCAAACGAAAACTTGTTTATCAAAATGAACGAGTTTGTTTTAATTTTCTTTGTTTTTTCGATATTTTTTCTTTACTTCCTTGCTTGTTTTTTTTCTTTTATAAAGCAACCACAATCATCATCAAATGATGGCGCATCATCATCATCTCAACATTATCCATCAACAAGTAATGTTCTACCACGTCTAACAGATTTAACTGATAGTGTTGTACCACAAGGTGCTATTCGTGATAAAATTGAACATCGACAAAATCAAACATCATTACAAACAAATCGACCTATTCAACCATCACTACCACCACCACAACCATCAGTTCCTTCTCAATCTCAATCATCATCATCATCTATACCTATTAAACGTGAACCATCAGCAGCTCCATCATTTTCATCATCAAATCGTCCACCAATGCCACCACCACCACCACATAATGCATCGTCATCATCATCAGCATCAGCATCATCTCGACCTCCATCATTTCAACATCCATCATCTTCTCATTTTCAAGCTCATCATCATTCAAATAATAATTATAATCAACATGCTCGTTATCCATCACAACAAACACGACCTGGACTACCACCTCAAAATCGATCATTACAACAACCACCACTTCCACCTTCTCAACATAGTAATATTCTTTTTTCCAAAATATGATCTCAAAAAAAAAAAGTATTGACGTATAGGGGGATAAAAGTACAGAACCACTCTGCTCTCCGTCACAGCCCATGACAGATTGAGCCCGTTGGGTTAACTCCGAATTTAGTTGAGTGTCGATTTGAAAATTTTCCATTGAGAGGATCTTCTCCGAGTCTCAGAAACAATATTTTTCAAAGAAAAAAAAAGACACATATCTAGATTTGTTTCTAGTTGCCACAGAAAAAGTTTCAGCCCTAAAAACCGTCGTGTGGATATTTGCAGGGAAGAAAACTTCAGGTTATTTTTGGTCCTTAATCTCCCGAAAGGAAGCATTTGAGAATTTTGAGTCTATGACAATTTTTATTCTATTCATCATCGATCCATAATTTTTAAATCTGATGGAGTCGAGTTGTCTGAGAAATGTATAGGGCACGCTAGTCATCCAATGCGAAAAATCGGAGAAAAGTATCTTATATCTTCAGAATGATTATCTAATTCCGATAAGAAAATTTCATTGAGAATATCAAAGTCTCATTCGAGTGAGTGCTATGAATTAATTTTTTATTACATATCTGAAGATTAAATAAAACAATGATGAAGAATTGTGATCCAAAATAGATAGAATAACATATTCTCTCAGTGATGATTAGCAGTGTTTCATGTATTAATTCCACAGGAATTCCACTAACCATGTTTTTCATTTAGATGTTGATCGTAAACCTCCACCACCTACTCATCCGTATGATCATCCTGCTCCACCGCCACCAGCACCATCATCAACATCTGTATCAAATCGACCACCATATGGTTCACAACAACGTAGTAGTCATTATAATAATGTTCCACCACCAGCGAATCCTTATCCACAACAACCACCTTATGGTCATAGTAATCATCCACCAGCATTAATGCATCTTGGTGGTGAAAAACGTCCTTATGATCCAACATATGATCCTAATAATAATAATAATAATAAACGACCTCGGCCATCATCTTCATCCTCAACATCATCTCAACAATGGAATAATAATAAATAAACAAATATTTTCTTTTTTTTTTCTTTTCGTGCAAGTCAGATCAAAGACAAACATGAACATTTTTCTTTACCGTAAAAAATTCATTTTTTTCTTCTTCTTGTTTTGTCTTTGTTCAAAACATTCGTAGATAGCTCATGATTTTTTTTTCTGTTTGTATATGAAACATAAAAACAAAAACGAAAAAAACAAATAAATATGTATATCTATTCTTTATTCAATATATATATATTTCAGATGGATAAATTTGAAATAGATTCTTGTATAAAATGGATTGAAGAAAATAATTTTAATATTATTGCATTACAAGTACCCGATGAAGATCTTGATAAAATACAAGATTTAATAGATATATTAACATCATCTATTCATAATAGAAATATTGAAATATATCTTATTGGTGATGGATGTTCATCATGTTGTAATGATTTATTAAATGCTCAATATTGTCATGCACAAGGTTTAATTCATTTTGGACATTCATGTCTTTCATCATATTTTGATAATAATAATAATAATAATAATCAACAAACAATTTCTATATTCTATGTTTTCTATCAACAATCATTACCGTATGTTTTGAAAATTGATCGAAATAAAAATTTTAATGATACTTTTTTTAATAATAGAATTTTTTTTTCCGAAATAATTTAAATATCTAATATGATAAGATGATTTCTAGACAAGAGATATGCGAATATTTAGTCTTGGTTACATTTTAATGATTGAACTCAATTTTAAATACTTTTCAAGGATCAAAATTAGTTAGAACGTCTTCTTTTTGAATCCAGTAAAAGTATCCTGAAGTTTCGAGCATAGCTAATCTGTTAATAGTAATCTTATTCTACTTGTAGTTTAGAATGGAATCACGAATTTCAATTGAACGTTGATTGTAACATTCAAATTCTCTAATCATTTCAGTATATAAGAAAATCATTGTATAATTTGAGATCAGACATGAAAATCAATTAATACATTCAGCCCGATTCAGTTTTATTACATAATAGCTCTAGCAGATTCATTTTTGTGTGCATGCGTTGTCCTTTTCATTCTGTACTGGCTCGCTGTTTTCTCTTTTCTAATTGGTATACCACATGGACAGTTATGTCTATGCATCACAGATTGATTTTTACCAACGTGACGTATTGGTTTTTTCCCAGTATGTCATTACATATTCTATATTGAACTTTTCCAAATAATATACTCGTTTACGTCATACTTGGTACTCTCCAATATGCTTATATATGTATGTGTCGATGTTTCTTTTCTTGCAGTCATTAACTATTACATTCACTAGAATGCTATGTTGTTTGTCGAAATTTTTTTGTAGAAAAGCATTTCGTCGAAAGTGAATTATTTTCTTCTTATTTGTCTCACTGTCAGAAGACAAGTTCAAAAAGATCTCCCAATTAGCTTTGTCCTTTTGGCAATGACGGAAGAATTTCAGAGCACCATTGAATAGAATTACATTCTCTTCGTCGAAAAGTACTTCAAGAAAACGTTTGTAGCCTCTCGAGATAATTTCAGATCCTTCAATTCTTCTACAGAACTACTCAGAGTTGAGAGGACAATGAGTTTTCTCTCACACTCACGTTTGTAGTGTCCTTACCCTCACCCTTGCTTTTGACCTCACACGTGGAGTGCTTTGTATGGCCCTTACCCTCACCGTCATGCTCACCCTCACCCTCACTCTCACCTCACCTTTACATTTGGAGTGCTCTCCATAGTCAAGAAAATACTTTCGACGAAAAGCAGACATCTATCTGAGTTTATCGATGAAGTGTCGTATAGATGAAAATTTTTCGACCAACAACATAATTACTCATTCACTAGTTCTCTGAGGTATGTTCAGATTTCCAAAAAAGGAAATTACCCACATTTCTGAAATTTCCATTAGCTCGATAACTATATAGCAGTACAAATCAAAAGTTTTTAGACATATTGGAAATTTCACAACTTTCTGAAATTACATCATTCTAGGAAGTAACGTAAAATTCAGAACACAAATACTTGAAATCTTCGAAGTTTCTTTTTTAGGAAGTCTGAACACTGCTGGGCTGAATGTGTTAACTTTTAGAAATTTCTTGTTCAAATTCAATCAAATAAATTGTTTTTAACCAACGAAAAAGAATAAATTGTTGTAATATCAATATTTTTTTATTTATTTATTAGGGAAGATGCATCAAATTTTCTTATAACAAATCATGATAATGATAAACCATATTGTCTTGTTTTCTATGATCCATGTTTTCGTGATGCTATTGAACAATATTCAACATTATCTTCTCGTTTGATTTTTTCAAAAATAAGTTCACAAAATTCTACTGATGATCCTTTACATTTTTCACTTTATGGTCGTTCAGTACAATTACCTGTTCCACTTAATCCATCAAATTATTCAATTATTTTCATGTCTCATTCAAAAGCTTCATTATATAATTTTGCTCTTTATTTCTATGCATATGATTTTCGGTAATTAAAAATTTCAAATAATGATATTCATCATTATTTTTTTTTTTTTGTGTGTGTTGCTTTTCTTCAGGTCATTTCCATCAGATTCTTCTATATCAAGTAAAAGATTATTAAGTAAACGTATGTATGCAATAGAATGTGCACGAAATGGTTCATCATATGGTTTACTTACATCTTCAAATTCTTTATTAAATCTTCCATTAATAATTCATAAATTACTTGATTATTTAAAAAAATTATTTGATAAATATAATCGTCAATATTATACATTTCTAATGAATACATTATCAATAACAAAACTGAATAATTTTGAAAGAAATATTGATATTTATGTACTTTGTTCATCATGTACAGAAAGTCAATGGCTTTCACCAGAATATAAACAATTTAATATACCATTAATTAGTATAAATGATATTATACAAGCATTTGAAAATAATAATGAAAATTTATCAATAAATTATTCATTTGATTTAAGACAAATTTTATCTACAATAAAAATTATTAATGAAAATGAAATTAATGAAAATGATGAAGAAAATAATGCTTTAATACTTAAACATCCAAATACTCTTCTATTACAACAACGAGATGGATCAAATCGAAATCTTGATAATAATCATATTTGGTGGGGTTTACAAATTACTGATAATATTAATGAAGAAAAAGAATCTAATAAATCTGTATCAGAACTTAAAGAAGGAAAATTTGGTATAGCATCTGGTTATACCAATGAAAAATTTTAAAAAAATATTCATTTATCATGATTGTTATTTCATTATATTGTGTTTTAGATTTTATTATTTTTCTTTCCTTGGATAATCTACGCCATAATTATTATTCTATTTATTTGGCTATTTTGACAGGTATGATATAGATAGTATTGAAGGTTTTTGTTTTTATCGTAGTTTTATTATCCAATAGATCATTAAAACATATCAGAACTGCTAACAGACTACTTTTTTTCGGCCTGACCTGCAGGTGAAACCAGACCAACTAGTGTTTTCGATTTTTCAAATCCATTAATTTTACATCTTTGTATTAATCTGTAATATGAGTTTCAATTATCTATTGAATGCGTTCCCATGAAAATAATAAAACACAAGTCAACGGTTCTTTTAAAATGGGAATTGAGAATGAAACTGTCACCGGCTTTTAAAAAGCTGTGAAACTGGAAAAATGATCTGAATTGTGAAAAAATACCGAGGCCTTTCTAATCCATCAAGTAGATTCTAAAATCCTAAAATTTGTATCTAGATATTTTTCTTTTATTCTTTGAATTTGGAAACTAGTACATATACAAACGATTATTTTTATTTTAAGACCTGAGATCTGTGAAGCCTTCAATCGCAAATATTTAACAGTGAGAATTCCTCAAAATGTATCGAAAGCTTTATATTTGTCTGATGTTTTATTATAATTTATTGAGAAACGAACTGGAACTGCCTTTCTCTCATTTTTATTAACAGAAACTGAAAATGTGATTTTGAATTCGCGTATTTTTTAGAGTCAAGGAGCTCTTCAACTGAGAAACAAGCTTCTTCAGCACAACTAATTAAAGTAGTGAGACGCATTATGAATATTTTTCATAGCATCAGAACTCGAATGAATGCCAGCTGCTAAACATCGATAGTAAAATGTTTTAAATAGGAAAACATCAAAGAGTCTTGATGTAAAAGGAATAAACGGTCAACAAATAAAAAGAATCGAAGAAGAAAAGCTATCGAATGTATAAAGATATTGATTTGTAGAAATGCTGAAGAGCAAATGTCGAAAGTCAGCATTATTGATTCGTGATATTAATTTTTGTCTAAGTTGACTACTGAGAAATTTAGTATTGTATCACACCCAGATCACCACCTTTGACCAAGCTAGTAACTCCGAAACATATTACAAGCTTTGTTGTCCGCATAGAAAAACAAATATATATCGATGTATATTTGTTCCATTGTAGGATCGTGTTTAAGGATGCAATGGTGACGATCCATCGTTCACCGATGACAATGATGCATCAACCACCGGCACACCAAACTATCTATAGCATCGGTCCACAGTTCACCGCACGCACCGTACTGCCTGTGATAACAGTTCACCGTTCCTCGATGATAGCGGTGCACCATAATATCAATTATTCAGATAATCGCTTACTTGATATTCAAAATATTAAAATTTTAATTACACAAGATGTACTAATATATTTTCTCTTGAATAAAATGAAACTAATAATTTATCTTTTATTCATGTTAAACAAAGACGCTTGACATACATAAAAATTTTCTCTAATTACTTATGATATTTTAAAAATGAGTATACAACCAACAATATTGTAATTATAATTGAGTGATGTTTGATTTTTATTTTTTCAATAGATATGATTAATATCATTCTAGATAGAGTATACATATTTATAATACGAGAAAGAAAGTGTTAGAGTACTATGACTTTACCACTAGAACTCTGTTATTTAGTATGATTAAAGACTATAAGAAAACATTCCTAACTAGCGAACGCTGATCAAGTTAATATTTTTC